CAATTACACAATATGAATATACTCTCCCACTTCCCCTGATGGCGTCCCGAAGATGGCCGACCCCCCCCCCGCGTACTTTTTTACACACAGGATTCCCGGGAAACGGGTTTTCGCCTGCGTTTTTTCAAAATGCTGCTCTCGCTGAGGCGCCTGCCTCATTTCTGCTCCCGAATCGTTCCGAATCGTGCTCCCGCTGCAGCGTGGGCCTCATTTTCGGATCGGTGTTTGGCCTCCGTCGTTCAGGATGGCGTTCTCGCCCCAGCGCGGGCCTCTTTCTCGCGCGCCCATCCGCCCGCCACCACCGCGCCGCACCACCGCGCCGCACCACCACCACCACCACACCACCACCACCACCACCACCACACCACACCACACCACACCAGCACCAGCACCAGCACCAGCACCAGCACCAGCACCAGCACCAGCACCAGCACCAGCACCACAACCACGCACACGCACGCACGCACGCACGCACGCACGCACCACCACCCACTACGCACGCGCGCGCGGAGCCACAGGTCCGCTACGACACGCGTCCGCGGATAGAGAAAATCAGCGCCATGGTAAGGGATGGGAGGGAGGGGTAGGACGTCAGATATGACGCGAGCGCACCTAGCTTGTCCTCCTCCTCCTCCTCCTCGTCCTCCTCCTCCTCCTCCTCCTCTGCCTCCTTCTCCTCCTCCTCCTCCTCCTTCTCGACCTCCTCCTCCTCCTCCTCCTCCTCCTCCTCCTTGGTAGGGCGGCGGGGACCTCGCTGCAGTCGGTGCTCACGGAGAATGTCCCGCGCGGAACGTATCCGTTCGACGGCATATCCGCGGGATCGCGTCCCGGAATCTAGACCGCGAGGGCGTGGTCATGGATGCGATTGCCGCTCGTGGTGTCAAGAGTGCGGGAAATCCGCCGACCCTGTCGGCATGTGTGAGGGGCTTGTCTGTTCGAGTCGTCGTCTCCGTCAGTCGTCCCCTTTCCCTGCACCCTCCTCCTCAAGCTTGTCAGCGAGAGAACAAAATCTAGCAATGTCGTAATCGAGTCGAAGGGAAGCTTCTTTCTCCTTTCCTTTGATCCCTCCCCCGTCGGGGGGGGGGGGTCCCGGGGCGGTGGGGGGGGACTCAGGGGGTCCTGGGGGTGGAGGGGTTATATGCGGATTCCCCCCTGGGGGTCCCGGGGCATCAGAAAATACCACGGCAGGCCAAGAGTACCCCAAGAGGCACCCGAGACGGTCCAAGAAGGCCCCAAATCGCCAGACGATCGGTCCAAAACGCCTTCACGCCCCCCACCAAGAAACTTCCAACAGCACCCCCCAGAGGGTCCCAAGAAGCCAAATTCATTGATATATTTTTCCAACCAAAAACAATGCGTTCTCGCCTTTTTTACTTCCCGCCGCTCTTAGACGGCGCAAGAGGTAAAACAAATCGCGCCACGACGGCCCAAGAGGCCTCCAAGAGGGCCCCAAAACAGCCCAAGAGGACCCCGAGACAACCCAAAACGCCTCCAAGACGGCCCAAGAGACCCCCAAGACGGCTCCAAGAGCGTGCCAAGACGGGGGACCCGAACTGACAGTCCGAGCCCTCGGCCCCGAGAGGCTACCAGGATGCCCCAAGAGGTTCCCAAGAGGCCCCAAGAGGCCAACGGGGTTCCCACGAAGCCCGAAGATGCCCCCAAGAGGCTCCCAAGAGGCCCCAAAATTCCTCCCCAGAGGCCCCAGAGAGCCTTCCGAAGAGACCCCAAGAAGGCATCCC